GACCCTGCTTTTGGGCCTGACCTCAACATGAATTTTGCCCTAGCAGAGAGAAGTGTTAGATCAGGGGTGGGCAAAATATGGCCCACAGGCTGGATCTGGCCTGCCAGGTGACTGGATCTGGCCTACAGCTGCCCCCGCAGCACTCTGCATGGAGATAAGCCCCATCTGCTTGTGCCAGGGCAGCCTGTACCAGCCTCTCACCAGTGCCCACAGCCCAACCTTGACCACCATACACAGCTTCTGGCAGGCTGTTCCTGGTGTGGCTGCAGCCAGGTGCTGTTCTGTGCCCCCCACTTCCAGCGGTGGCACGTGCTCCTGATCTTGCCCACGCTGCACTGCGTTGGGCTGCACTGTGCCACTCTAGGTGAGCAGCTTCAGCCGGGTGGCTCCTGCCCTAGTGTGTGAGGCCCCAGTTCCAGCTCCTGGTGGCGAGGAGCTGAAGCTGGAGCCCTGCATGCCTGCCACGAGCAGTACAGCATGGAAGGGGGAAGATCAGGAGCTGCCACTGGAGGCACGGAGTACAGAACAGCACCCAGCTGCAGCCGCACTGGGAAAAGCTGGCTGGAAGCTGCTCCTGCTCCTGCTCCTTCTCCTGTCCCTGCCATCCCATGCCATGCCACATCACTCCAGGCGAGTAGGTGAGCTGGGTAGCTCCTGCCTCAGTGCACAGGGCTCTGGCTTTAGCTCCTGGCCACCTTCCCAGGAGCTGGAGCCAGAGTCCTGTGCAATGGGGCAGGAGCCACCTGCCCACTCAGCATGGTGTGGTGCAGCACAGAACAGTAAGGGCAAGATCAGGTGCAGAAGCCAGCACTGGGGCGGGGGGAGCAAAGCAGCACCCAGCCAGGCTGTGGGCAACAGTGGGAGCACACATGCATAGGCCTCCCTATACCCTTCTCCACATCTACCCTACACCGCCCTCAGAGGGCAGGGGCATGTAGGGAGTGAACCCAGGATCCAGGCTCTGGGCCCTGGTAGGGTGACCACATTTTTAAAATGTAAAGGCAGGACACATGCCCGCCTGCCCCCACCCCCTTCCACCAGCTGCACAGCCGGAACCGAGCAGGGCAGGGCAGGGGTGGATGTGGGCTGTCTGCTGCAAACTCGGGGCTCCCCACCTTGCCGCCTTTCCCTCAGGAGCTCTGTGCTGGCCGCACACCCCCTGCCTGCCCAGCAGCACTGGGGGCCAGAATTCTACCATGCCACTGCCCCCAGTGCTGCTGGGTGGACAGGGGGCACCTTGCCATGGTGGCATGGGCTCTGGAGGGAAAGGCAGCAGGGTGGGGAGCCCTGAGCCCATAGTGGGCAGCCAACATCTGCCTCCTTCCTGCACACAAATCTGGGCGGGCATATACCCCCCATGCACTGTCTGGGTGGTGTATGCAGCGGTAAGAAGCTGGCCCCCCCATGCACCATGCCCCCTGGATGAGCCACTCTGGCTTCATCTCACTCTATGCTCCAGCCCTATACACTACCTTGATTGGGCAGTGCCCCCAGCCTTTGCCCCACTCTGTCCCTCACCTTGGGGGCCTCAATCTGCTCCCTCTCTCTTCCTCATAGACTTGCCTGCAGGGAGCTGCTCTCCATGCTGTCCAGCTGTATTCCCAGCCACGTGCCTGTGTGAGGGCATGCATGTGCATGCAGCACCCCCTGCATCCCACTCCCAGAAGTCCCAAGCAGCCCCTTACAGGCTGGAATACTGCCTGCCTGCAAAGGGAAACCCGCTGTTTCCCGTAGATCCCTACACAACACTGCACATCCAGGACAAATGCTGTCCTGGAGTCATGCAGCCTGGGACCAAGACTTGAGGTTCCCGTTCTGGGACTGTTTCGTCCAATTAGGGAATGTGTGCGTGTGCGTTGGGGGGGTCACCCTAGGCCCTGGGTTCCAGCCCGGAGCTGTCACTGCCCCGTGACCTGGCCCTGTGATCCCAGCCTCGCCTGCCCTCCCACTTCTGACCATTGTTCCTGGCCCCTACACAGCCCCATAGGGAGTTTTGGTGAGTTGTTGTGGTGGGAGGGTGGGGGGTGCTGACCTGGCCTGTGGCAGCTCATCAAAACTCCCCACGTGGCTCTCGGGCCCAAATAATTGCCCATCCCTATGTTAGATGTTCTAATACAGTGCACTCTTTTTGGAAGAAGCATGTTGTTCAGCAATTTATTCCTTGGGGTTTTTTTAATTAAAATTACATTTTCCCACATTGAACAATGTTTTACTTTAAAGAGGATGCCTTCCAACTGGTTTATGAAATGTAAAACATAAGCTGATGCCATGCCAAGGGAATTGTTGCCTAAAGCTTTACTGATTATGAGATATCAAATTTTGGTGCCTTGGAAAAACAACCACCCCAGGCATGACATCTTGTTTAACAGTGGAGGGACCTGACTGTGAAGGAAAGGATCACACACAATACACAGAAAAAAACCAGTCTAAGCATGTGGGACTCAAGATCCAGACAGAAGACCTTCGTGAAATGCATGAACCTGTCCACTGATTCTGATTTCCTTATTCTGTATTTTCTCTTTTGTTTGTTTTAAAATGTTATATCCTTGAAAATCTGTGTTCTGGAAATATTGTGGTTGATCTGTGGGTACATACTATTCACTTGTTAAGTATCCTGACCTTTTCTGATGTATAGTAATATGGTATTTTTGGTACAAAGAGCCTCAATTGGAGTACTGGATCCAGTTCTGGGCACCGCACTTTAAGAAGGATGTGGCCTGCCTTGAAAGGGTCCAGAGGAGGACCACCCGCTTGGTTGGAGGGCAACAGGGCAGGCCCTATGAGGAGAAGCTGAGGGACCTGAACCCGTTCAGCCTCAGCAAGCGGAGGCTGAGGGGGGACTTGGTGTCTGCCTACGAACTCATTAGGGGAGATCAGCAGAAAATAGGAAGGGCCCTATTCCCCCCAGCAGCACCTGGGGTGACGAGGAACAATGGCCAGAAGCTGCTGGAGAATAGGTTCAGGTTAGAGATTAGGAGGCACTATTTCACTGTTAGGGTGGCTAGGATCTGGAACCAACTTCCTAGGGAAGTGGTCCTCGCTTCTACCTTGGGTAAATTAAAAAAGAAGTTGGACAAACACCTGTCTGGGGTCATGTGATCCCAGCGTGTGCTCCAGCAAAAGGGCACAGCAGCCCCCTTGGCTCTCCAGGGAACTGGCAGAACTCCTGCGTCTTAAAAGGAAGACCTACAAAGGATGGAGGACTGGAACCACCACCAAGGAGAAATACTCTGCTCTGGTCCGCACCTGCAGAGAGCAAACCAGGAAAGCCAAGGCTGTGACTGAACTTCAGCTAGCTACAAATATCAAGGACAATAAAAAGTCCTTTTTTAGATATGTGGGGAGCTGGAGGAAAAGCAAGGGCAACATTGGGCCCCTGCTAAATCAGATGGGACAACTGACAACCAATGCCCATGAAAAAGCAAACTTGCTAAATGGGTACTTTGCGTCAGTTTTTCACCAGTTCCATGGGACGCCGCTGCTCACTGTGGGTCAGGGAGGCCCGGGTGAGGGGGCCTCCCTCCTCTCCCTCACTGCAGGGGCCTTGATCTGTCCCCCCATACCCCTTTCCTCCCCCCTTCCTTTCCACCACAACAGACTTACCAGCTGCACGCAGTTCTCTATGCTGTATTGGAAATCAGATCAATATTGGCCGATATGCCTCTTTAAAAACTGGCTGTTGGTATCGGCCCCAAAAATCTTTATTGGTGCACCCCTAATTTCATGCATGGTTACCACTACGTCTTGAAGGAAGCCAGCCCCTAGGGCAGGGGTGGCCAGTGTGTAGCATGCGTACAAGTGGCCCAAGCAGCTTCTGTGTGTGGCATGTGCCAGATTAAGGAGGGGGCAGGCAGCAGAGTGGCAGATAGAGCAGGAAGCAGAGCAAGAGATCGGGCATGGAGCAGAAAGCAGAACAACAGATGGACTGGGGGAAGGGGACTGGAGTGGCACTGAGGGATGGGCATTGGCCTCCACTGCCTTAGGGGGGCAGCAAAGCTTGCTGCAAGAGGCAGGGAGAGTTTGTGGACTCTCTCAGCACTCAGCAGGATTAAATCCAGCACAAGTCGCTGCACTTTAACAGCTAAAATCTGTTTCACCTTCTAGATCGGGGTTCCCAAACTGTGATACATGTACCCTTGGAGGTATGCAAGACATCTCTGAAGGGTACGTGGGAGACATTGTGTAATGGCTGAATTAATTTTCGTTAAAATAATAATTGGTACCTAAGGGGTTAAATCTGGAAGCCGGTATGCAGTAAGAAAATGTCTGGGAACTTCTGCTCTAGATGAATAAAGGCCAGGTGCTGGTCACCACAGGGGATGATCCTGTTTCCCCTGGCTACCCATGTTGTGCCCCATTCTGGGAACAGGCTGGGATTGGCGCATCTCTGGCGCTGGGACTCGGTTTTGCCCAAACGTGTCCCATACGCAGCAACGGGTTATTTGCACCCCTCTGCTCGGCTGTGAAGAATAGGGACAGACATCCCAGCTGAAGCACTTCAAAGTCGAGCGCCTCATCGTCACCGCAGCCGCACCTCTCTACTGCCTCCCCGCCCCCGCGAGGGCGGGGCTACACCTCGGCCCCGCCCTCGTGAGCTGATTGGCTACGTGCCCGGGGGGGGTCCGCGCCGCCACGTTGGCGGGGGC